TTCTACTACTCTTCTGGCTCCCCTGGCAATTTTGTCAACATACCTGAGTCCTGACCTGTAGAAGCCCTCATCTTCCATGCCTGAATTAATTCCACCAAAGACTGGCAAATGACATAGTAATATTAATTTAAACAAGATAGAGGCTGATGCATGTCACTTGTGGCAAATGTTAAATATGAAAACAAATTCCAAGAGGCAAAATATGATTAATCACATAGCAGTAAAAATGGGTTTAGCTTTGAGGAGAGTTACCTCCTGAAAAGTCTGGCTAGCACCACAGGACAGATATGGGAAGATGTTAATTTATTTTCTGATTTAGCTTTCCAACAAACTCTCTCCCTTCAAAAGGAGTAATCTTGTGGCACCTACTAGGAAACAGCTTAACCTTGGGTATGGACACATACATGGCCAGAGGGGGGTGCAGATGGTGCAGTGCCTCATCACATATAACGCAAAGCGTATTTTTCTCCAGTTAAAAAGAAACTAGAAGATTTAGTAATAAGCTAGGGACTATATTATTCAGTTCAAGATTGAAGGAAAAACAAGTAACTTTATTGGAATGTGCATTAATTTGCTATATCATATATCAGATACAGAAACACAACAAAATTAGACCAAAATAATCAAAAGATGTTGTTTCATTAGTCCTGTAGTGATTAGAATTAAGGATGCATCTATTCTTTCAGATTCATAAATCAAAATCTAGCCTTCTTAAGCATCTTAACAATGCATCCAATGCTTCACTCAAAGTTATTTCCATGCCTGAGGTACCATTCACATGAGCTAAAATTTCCACATTTGAGTTATAAGATTTACCATAACATAAGATGACCCTGAAGTTAAGATGACCCCACAATGATTAGGTTCTATACATGGAAAATGTATACATTTGTTTTAATTTTCCATGTATAGAATCTAACTATTGGAGGGTAGTCTTTAATTCATCCCCCCCACCAAAGCAGGGGGGCAGGTAGTGTAGGGAGGTCAAGCAGCTTGCCCCTTGCTTGTGCCTGTCCCTCTAACACCTCTGCCCCTGCCCTGTTTCCCCCCCTGCAGCCTCAGACCCCTCCTTTTCCCTTTGTCTCTGCCCCCCGCCCCTCTACCCCAGCCTCTGCTTCCCACTTCCTCCTACCCCCTCAGCCTCTGTTCTCTGCTCCAGCTGCACCCTCACCCTTGCTCCATGCCAACAGACTCCATCCCCATTCTAGCCTGGGGCATGGGGCACTGAGTGAGCCCAGCCCCAGCCCAGCCCAGCCCCCATAGCAGCCATGCAGGCTATGCACTATTGCTGTGGGCCAATCCGGGGCCGTGCTCAGTGCCTAGGCTGCAATGCAATGGAGCCTGCCAGCGTAGAGCAAGGGTTGAGGGGAGGATGAGGGGAAAGCAGGGAGCAGAGGCTGGGTGGAGGGTGGGGAGTAACTGCCACTTGAACATCAACACTGGATGCAGTGGAAGCAGTGATTCCAGCACAAAAGCAAGCCCCGCTGGCACTTTCAACCACACCAAAGCTAGAGGTCTTGAGAACTGCAATGGGGGGATGACTTAGGGCAGCCTTATTGTGTCCTTTCTGGGCTTGGCACATGGAGTGTAGGAGCAGGGAGCCTGAGTGTGCCTCTTGGAGGTGCTTTTCCAGAGGACTGTGGAAGCAGTGTTGATACGCCCTTGGAGTACAATGGTCAGCAGGGTTGCATTCATTCAAACAAGGTTGAAAAGTGGCTTGTTCATAGATTCATAGATTGGTAGGGGCTAGAAGGGACCTCACAGATCATCGGGTCCAGCCACCCTGCACTAGGCAGGAAGACAACTGGGGTCAAATGACCCCAGCGAGGTGACTGTCCAGTCTCCTCTTTAAAACTTCCAGGGTAGGTGACTGCATCACCACTGGAGGGAGTTTATTTCAGTCAGGACACTCTGACTGCGAAGGAGTTTTTCCTAGTATTAAGCCTGAAGCAGCCTTCCAGGAGTTTGGGATATAAATCCATTGGTCTTGGTCTTCCCCAGGGGTGTCCTAGTGAACAGTTGTTCACTGAGCTCCTGATGCACTCCTCTGATGTAGCGGTAAGCTGCTATCAAGTCCCCTCTCAACCTTCTCTTCTTTGGGCTAAAGAGGCCCAGGTCCCTCAGCCTTTCCTCATATGGCTTGCATTGCAAGTCCCTGATCATACAGGTGGCTCTTCTTTGGACCCTCTCAAGTTTTTCCACGTCCTTATTGAAGTGCGGCACCCAGAACTGGATGCAGTACTCCAACTGCGGTATCACCAGAGCCGAGTACAGCAGCAGCATCACTTCCTTAGTTTTACAGGAGATGCATCAATTGATGCATGCCAGCGTGTGGTTTGCCCTGCTGGGCACCACATTACACTGATGGCTCATGTTCATGTGATGGTCAGTCATTACCACCTTTTAGCTGTGGTGCAAGTCAGGCTGTCACCTCCAAGCCTGTATGTATGTTGAGGGTTATTTGCCCCCAGATGGAGCACCTTACATTTGGAAGCGTTAAACTTCATCTGGTTCTGGTCTGCCCAACTCCCTAGCCTGTCCAGGTCTGCCTGTATCAGCAACCTATCTTCTGGCGTGGCCACACTGCCCCACTGTCCTTCTGCAAATGCTGATGCCTCACCTCACTGGGTTCTCTTTACCTGTATCTTGCTTGAGGGTGAAACCAGAACAACTGAGCCTGTCTAGGCAGCAAGGGCTACTCTAGTCCTCCCTTCAGAAAGAATCACAGAGTCCCAGTTCTTTAGGTACAATAACTTAGACTGAGTCTGTTCAGCCTGCACAAAATTTAAATGCACCTTGCAGTTCAGTTATTTAGAAATTCTCACTGATCTCTGGAAAGGATAGCGTCACAAATGGCAGGTAGGCAGGAGGGGCATTTTTAATGCCATAACAGACAAACAGAAGTCATAACACCTCCTGGTCACCATAGGCATACCATGGCAGATGGAGCATGAAAGGAACTAGGAATGACCTAAAGGGACAGATTGGGATTGGTGCTTCCATTCCTCTCCTGGTTCTGAAATTGCACCTCCTTGACACTTCCCCAGTGGGACAGCTTTAGTGTCCAGCGTAGGTCTCCCACAACAGAGACATTTAAAGGCCAAGCTGTAAGACTCCCCCCCCCCCCC